TAAATTTCAGAAGTTTAGATATGCTTAACTAGAAATGATGGTGTTTGGTTTAACTAGGGTGAAGAAACCAAAGAAGGTGTGTGAGGAATGTTGCAAAGTAAAGCATGATAGGAAAGAATTCAAACATGATTTGACCGTGAGATCAAAACAAAATCTGGAGCTAGTTCATTCTGATGTGTGTGGACCTTCTGAAGTAAGCTCAAATGGAGGTAACTGCTATTTCCTAACTTTCATTGATGAGTTCACCAGACATATGAGGATTGACCTTATTGAAAGGAAGATTGAGGTATTCACGCAGTTCAAAAAGTTCAAATTGCATGTTGAGAAACATAGTGGATGGAAGTTGAAGAAACTGAGAACTGATGGTGGTGGTGAATACATTTCTCATGAATTTGCTAGATTTTGCAATGAGGAAGGTATACAACATGAGGTCATTTCACCCTATACACCTTAACATAATGGCATAGATGAGAGAAATAATCGAAGTATACTGAACATGACAATAAGTATGTTGAAAGCTAAAGATGTGCCTAAGCGATTTTGGGCTGAAGCATCTTCGACATCAGTATACAGTCTAAACAAGTGTCCAATGAAGAAGATGGTCGAAAAGACACCTTATGAGGCTTGGACATGGTCGAATCCAAATGTTAGTCATATTAGATTTTTTGGATCAATGTTTTTTAGGCATATACTTGAACAACTGAGAAATAAAATAGATGATCAAAGTCAAGTTATGATGCTCATAGGTTATCAATCAACGAGTGCATACAAACTGTATTCACCAAATAATGATAAACTAGTGATCAGTAGAGATGTTCTAGTGGATGAAAGCAAAGGGTGGAACTAGAGTCAAGGCTCAATTCAACAGGAATCAGATACAGTTAGAATTGTGTTTGAAGAAGATCAACAAAATGAAGCCACAAACAGTCGAAATGAAAAACCACCTGATCATAATGTAAGAAAATCGATTAGAGCAAGAACTGAGTTGACGAGGCTAGTTTGATATGAGATATTTCTAGATCAAGCAGTCGATGCAGATGGTGTCTTAATTGAAGAAGCTATGATGATGGATGAAGCAGAACCAATTGATGTGGATCAAGCCATGAGTGGTTAAAATTGGTGAGAAGCCGTGAAAGAAGAACTCAGAGCAATTGAGAAGAACAAGACTTGTGAGCTTGTCAAAAGATCTAGCAAGAAGTTAATTGATGTAAAATGGATTTACAAGTTGAAACGAAGGCCAAATGGTGAGATTGCCAAATATATGGCAAGACTAGTGGCAAGAGGTTTTCTACAAAAACTTGGTATTGACTTTGACGAAGTCTATGCCCTTGTTGCAAGGCTGGAGACAGTCAAAATTGTTGTATCGACAACAACATATAGAGGGAGGAAGATACGTCACTTGGATGTAAAGTCAGCATTTTTGAATGGACCATTAGAAGAAGAGGTTTATGTTACTCAACCACCGAGATTCGATATCAAAGGGTAGGAGTCAAAAGTGTACAGATAAGGAAGGCTCTATATGGTTTGAAGGAAGCTCCTAGAGCTTTGAATAAGATAATAGATTGCTTCGTGATTGAAGCAGGTTTCATAAAATGTGTCTCTCAAAAAGAAGTGCATGCAAATGATGCTGATAGTGTCAGTCGAATCATTTTATGCATGTATGTAGATGATTTGCTGATCACAGGAGCAGACAGAGTTGAGATAAAGAAAGTCAAGTCGAAACTGATGCATGAATTTGAAATGTATGACCTAGGGAATCTGTCATATTTCTTAGGGATGTAATTCAAAGACACATGTGAAATAGTATTTTTGCACCAAAAGAATCATGCTCGAGATATCTTGAAAATGTTCAAAATGAGCAACTATAATGCAATTTCCACGCTATTGGAAACTGGAGCAAAGTTGAAAAAGAAGAAAAATGATGAATTTGTAAGTTTGACACTGTACAAACAAATCATTGGATTCTTGAGGTATCTTTGCAACACTAGGCCAGACATTTGTCAAAGTGTCAGATTGTTGAGTCGATTCACGGAGAAACCCCAAGAATGTCATCTCATTGCAGTGAAGAGGGTGTTGAGATACATAAATGGTATGATTGATCATGGTGTGCTGATGCCAAGGAAGTTGAAAACCAACACAAATGAAGAAGTCCATGGATACACTGATTCATATTTCAGTAGAGATCAAGACAAAAAGAAGAGTATTGCATGCTACATTTTCATGATCGAAGGCGCTACAATCTCTTGAAGCTCGAGGAAGGAGAGTATTGTGGCTTGTTCATCATGTGAAGATGAATATGTAGCTGTATTATATGTTGCATGCCAAGCAACATGGATCGAGATGCTGCTTGAAGAACTCAAGATAATGAAACCTATGAAGATGAAGTTATTTATCGACAACAAGTTAACTATCGACCTAGAGAATCATCCAGTGTGTCATGGTCGAAGTAAACATATAGAGAAGAGGTATCATTTTTTGAGAGATCGAGTTAAAAAAGGGAAGCTTGAACTAGAGCATTGCAAGGCAGAAGTTCAACTAGCTGATATACTCACCAAACCTCTGAAGAAAATCATGTTTGACGAGTTGAAGAGAAGCCTCAGGACGAGAAGTCTCGAGAACATGAATTAGGTGGTGTGTTAGTCGTAATTCATGTTCCGTCGAAATGCATAGGTGGAGGTGTCAAACTAACTAGTAGAAGTTATAGAAGTTTGTGTCGAAATATATTTTGGGTTTGGACTTTAGTAGCCTATATAAAAAGCATTATATGTTTTAATTTAATAACACACTCATAACGAAAATAACAATTTTTAATAGAGGGAAGAAGGAGTTCGGTGACACTACACTATTTTCGAGTTAACTGTATATTAGTACTTATTTACCTAAGAGGTGTCTCCGTCAGTTTGGATATGTTCAAGACATACCTAGATCTGTCATTGTTGTACTGGCTAGTGTTGATAGATGGTTTCGTGCTAACATGGTGAGTAGTGTCAGTATAATTAGATAAAATGCAGTGGTCGTGTCTTTTTCTGGATAGTGTATGAATGGTTATCTATAGTGGTTCTATATAATAACACGCCCTCGTATCAATCTCTTGAAGCTCGAGGAAGGAGAGTATTGTGGCTTGTTCATCATGTGAAGCTGAATATGTAGCTGCATTATATGTTGCATGCCAAGCAACATGGATCAAGATGCTGCTTGAGGAACTCAAGATAATGAAACCTATGAAGATGAAGTTATTTGTCGACAACAAGTCAACTATCGACCTAGAGAATCATCCAGTGTGTCATGGTCGAAGTAAACATATAGAGAAGAGGTATCATTTTTTGAGAGATCGAGTTAAAAAAGGGAAGCTTGAACTAGAGCATTGCAAGGCAGAAGTTCAACTAGCTGATATACTCACCAAACCTCTGAAGAAAATCATGTTCGACGAGTTGAAGAGAAGCCTCGGGACGAGAAGTCTCGAGAACATGAATTAGGTGGTGTGTTAGTCGTAATTCATGTTCCATCGAAATGCATAGGTGGAGGTGTCAAACTAACTAGTAGGAGTTATAGAAGTTTGTGTCGAAATATATTTTGGGTTTGGACTTTAGTAGCCTATATAAAAAGCATTATATGTTTTAATTTAATAACACACTCATAACGAAAATAACAATTTTTCAATATGGTTTTCTCTCTTCTCTCTCTTCTTTTTCTTCTCCTTCATCTTTCTTGAATACTCTCTGTTTCAACAATAGCATATTATCTTAATGCCCTTTAACAAGTCAAGGTCCAGTAACATTTGCAGGCTCAGTTGAGATAAAAGGGGTGATACGAGGGCGTGTTATTATATAGAACCACTATAGATAACCATTCATACACTGTCCAGAAAAAGACACGACCACTGCATTTTATCTAATTACACTGACACTACTCACCATGTTAGCACGAAACCATCTATCAACACTAGCCAGTACAACAATGACAGATCTAGATATGTCTTGAACATATCCAAACTGACGGAGACACCTCTTAGGTAAATAAGCACTAATATACAGTTAACTCGAAAATAGTGCAGTGTCATCGAACTCCTTCTTCCCTATATGATATATGTGCGTTGTCCAAATGACATCATCTATTCGGTTGTATACGCGTAATCACTAAATTTTTTAAAAATACAGGTATAAACCATATAAATTATTGTTGATAAAAACAAGTATGAGTTAAAAATGTTGAGAAACAAAGTGTGGGGAAGTCTCACTTTAATTAGAAAAGTAAAGACTTCAACATTTATAAGTGAGATAACTCACACACCTATTATCATAAGGTGTTGTGTGAGTATGTGGTGTATCTCTCATAAGGCGTGTCACTCATAAAAAAAGTTCCCAGTGAAAAATACTCATATTAAACCCCTGAATTGATGATCCAACAATGACATAAGAGTCTGGTTCGATCTGTCAAACACCTAATATATAACATAAATTATGTCCCCAATCAAAAAATATTCTCTCATATTATCCCCACATTTTAATTTGTTAATTAATCATGTATTTGGTTCCATTGCCAACTAAAATAATTAAAATTTAAAAATAAAAAATAAAATTTTGGTAAAATAAAAAAGCGATAGCTGCATATATAATTAAAGAAGGGAGATAGAGGTGTATATAATTATTTCTAAATATACGTGTTTTTTCTGTAACAAAAAACAAAGTAATATATATATATATATTACATAACTTATTTTTGTACCTCTTTATTATATATAAAAATAAAAAATAAAAAATAAAACTTTTTTTGGACATAAAAAAACAATAGGGGCATTCCGAGAATTGAACTCGGGACCTCTCGCACCCTAAGCGAGAATCATACCACTAGACCAAATGCCCTTGTTGATACTATCAATCTGAATTTCTGTATTTTGCAAATCGAATCGCAGTAGTATACAGTATACCAATCGTTTGATTATTACATTTCATATCTCACATACACAGAAAAAGAGTGAGTAAGATTCAGAGTTTGATGCAATGAGTTTGATTCACTTGCTCCGATCTCAGTCTCGCAATCGCTTTTCTTCATTATCAACAAACTCTCCTTCAGGTTCTCTCTCTCTCTCTCTCTCTCTCTCTCTCTCTCTCTCTCTCTACACAACCCACGAAACTAGGGTTTGTGTTTTAGGGTTTTTCAATTTTTATTGATGCTTCTGGTTCGATGAAACTGTTACTTTTCTACCATCTCATGTTAGCTTTATATCTCTTCCGTTTTCTCAGTTTTTGATTTTTCTTTTCATTTTCAAATAATTACATTTTTTCTGTGGTTATGTTGTTTGGTATTGTTTGTGAGTTTTAGCATGTTTGGATTGAAACAGATGTATACGTCAGTGAACAAACTTTAATTTTTCGCTTAATAAAGCTTGATCGACGCGATGTTATGGAGTCGAGTAAATTGAATCATGTGTCCTAGTTTGATTTGCTTCTAAGCCATGGTTCATAGTGTTTTGGTTCCGTTAATGCCGGATGGCAATAGTCTTTAATGTATTGCAAATGATATGATTGTTAATATTTTTTTGGGTTACATTTGTTTTTATGGTTCAGTGTACCAGTGTTTTAGGTCATCCACGTGCGGCCAACCGATCAATGCTAATCCAATATTCAAAACGCAGAACAATGCGAAACCAACATTTAAGACTTCTTTTCAGCTTGGTACTTCTCAAGTAAGATGGTTATCTAAAGTTGCACCAACTGAGGAAGACAAGATTAGCATTGGACCTGCCAGTGGAAGACAATCTGAGGAAGGAGACAAGGAAACTGGAATTTTCTACTATGGCCCAATCTCAAGTACCATAAAAAAAGTAAAACTTCTGTCTCTCTCAACTTGCTGCCTCTCGGTATCACTCGGTCCGGTCATAACCTTCATGACATCCCCTGACAGCAATGTCATCCTAAAGGGTGCAGTGGCATCATCAGTGATATTCTTCAGTGCTTCAACAACCGCCATCCTTCACTGGTTCGTCAGCCCGTACATTCACAAACTCCGATGGCAACCCGGTTCGGACAGCTTCGAGGTGGAGATGTTGTCATGGCTGGCAACACATATCCCAAAGACTATCAAGTTTTCGGATATTCGTCCAGCAGATACCAATAGGCCTTATGTGACATTTAAGGCTAATGGGAGTTTCTATTTTGTGGACACAGAACACTGTCACAATAAGGCACTTCTTGCTAGACTCACACCACAGAAGGAAGCTCATGACTCTGCTTTCAAGAACTTGTGATTTCAAAAATGCTGCTGAACTTTGAATTTGACTATGAGATTTTATACATTTTGTTCTGATGATAGAATGAGTTGTTTAGGTTTTATTAATAAAGTTTTGTATGGTTTTTTTGCAACTTCAGTTATGGGGGTTTCTCTAGTCCTTCAAAATTTAAATGATTCATGTGTGCTCTTTTCTTTTGACAAAACAATGATTGATGTGTACTTATTCAGAGCTTCTATTTATTTGTCATGTTTTATTATATGTATGTGTAATAATGGAATGAATGTTCTGCATTAGATTAATTTTACAAATAGGGCTTTTGTAACTACCATGGTTTTAAATGATGTTTTGTTATGTAAATATAATATAGGTTTAAGTAAGAAATAGTTAAAGAATTTTGTTGTTGATTTTACTCTATTCTATAAGTTTTGGAAGACAATAGAAAAGAATTAAAACTGAAGTGATATTTTTATAACTAAAATGGAATATAATATTTTTCCAATTAGAATTGGAATCAATAAAATGAAAATAGTTTGGTTGCTATTTAACCACGTAATCCACAATGCTTTTAGTATCTACGGAGTCGAAACTAAACTCATTGATTTATAATAGACCAAGAGCTTCCCCTATATCTACATCAATAATAGGAGAGAATCACGACTCATTGATCCATTTGAGGGAAGTTAATAGACCAAGAACTTCCCTTATATCTACATCAGTAATAGAAGAGAATCTTATTGTCCGAACTGCAATGAACCAGTCTTCATGATCTCGAATACAAACTTCTATACCAATTTTGTTATCCACAAAAGAAGCATTTATGTTGCACTTGAGACGACTAACCAGAGGTTTTTCTCCAATTGGCATCTGGCGGCCTTAGAGCTTGATTGTTGTTGTCTGAGTGGATAGTTTAAGCATTCCTCCAACCTGTTATCGATAGGTTAGCTCGAATATAAATAGCCTCTGCAGAGTCTTCTATTTAGTTCCAAATTTGATTATTCCTACACTTCCATATGCTCCACAAAATGGTCGCGAACACGACTTATTGATCTTGAGTAGCAACCTGTAAAAAGGAAAATGCCATAGTGGCAAAAGATGGGCCAGTCGTCGTCAACGGCTGTAACAAGGTTCACAATTCTACCTTTAACCAACATTTGATACTCTTAGGACAAAGAAGGATAAGGTGTTTAGCATCTTCCAAATTATCGCCACAAATACCATAAGAAGGAGAGCATTGAACACTTTTATCAAATAAACCTTTATCAACTTCCTACACAGCTGCCAGAGAAAATTCTTAACCTTTAGAGAAGCTTTGATTTTCCACATAAGTTTCCACCTCTCACTGATCCTAAGATGTGAAGTATTGATAACCTCTCTAATACAGTAACAATAAGCAATGCGAACGAAAAATCTCTCTATTTTTTCAAGCCTTCAAACACGCTTATCATCGTGAACAACTTCGAACAGAAGAGTTTTGAGAACCTTAGTCGCTGCATTCACTCTTGATTTTGGGACTATCACTCTTGAATGTAAACACTTATTAGTCATTTTGTTTAAGAACTCTCATGTTAAATTCGTTAGGAGACAAGACAATAAGATTGTTCATGTTTTATCACATATGGTTCCATCTCTTATTGATTTCCATAATTTTTTCATTATTCCAACCAGTACTCAAAATATTATAAATAATAAAATGATATAAATCTTTTTCATTAAAGAAAACAAAATGAAAATAGTTATTTTGCAATGTCTAACTTGAGCCTGAACTTTGATGTAGTCACTTAAATGTTTTATGTGACAATTGATTAGAATATCTCTAATGGAAAAATTAATTTTAATTGTTTGAGTTAATTTTTTTTTGGCCTAAATTGCCGTATTGCAGCAATCTATTAACCATTTTTATCAATTTTACTCTAACAGTAATTATAATAAATAATCTATAGTTGATCTCACCAATTGATAATATTTTATTATTTTTTTAATGGTAAGCAATTAATTTTTTAGATTATATCAGCCAGCAACTGAAAGGATATTTAAACAATTGCAACTCCACATATATTTGTTCTAATGTTAAAAAATTTAAGTAAAAGAACTAGTACCCCCATCTCCATGTAAATACTAAACAACTTAGAGATGCTCTAAGCATTGATGGTTTGTCACTCTAGGTGGATTCTTACTTAGGATTTCATTTCCATATTATCAATATAGGCATTAATTTAAATCACAAACAATTAATTTTTATGCAAGAATTTTTTAGATGTTTGCACTTAACTCATTTTCTTAGCATCAACTAATTTATCTTATATGTTATTAAAAAAAGTAATTTATCTTATACATGGCTGTCTCAAATAATTTAGAAGTTATGTTTTAATCTTTAAAATAGAGACTTCAATAAAAATATTCATAAATAAATTTAAAAAACAATATTTTAAAGCTAATCAATTTTTATAAAAATATATAATATTAGCAGTCTAACGCTCAAGTGAGTAAGAGAATGAAAAATAATAAATTATGGAGATGAGTTTGAATTATCTGTAAAATGACGTCTTCACTCTTTATATAACAAAGGTGATTATAACTACTTCACGTGGAACGCGACATATCACGATAGGGTCTGCTTGATTGATTTGGACAACGTGTGATGAGCTAGGGGTTGTGATCGTCTATGCTCGAGACTACATACATCCTATTTTCTATTGTGTAGTCCATAATAGCATTTAATCTTGGATCTCTCTTATCAGGCCTTCTAGACGATCCATAATAGTTGTCCCCTCAAGCCCTTTCTTTTGTAGAGCAGGGGAAGTGTTTTGTCGTGAATGCCCTGAAATAAGCATTAAGAACTCGCACATTAAATACATTTCTTGTGCCATACATATGTCTGCTAAGGAACTCTTGACGCGTACTCCCTTGCATGCCAGTAATGATGACCTTTTGTTTATAGGACACTTACGTGTCTAGGACGACTTTCTAGGAGATATAAATAGTTAGTAGCGCTTTCTTATCTCCTAGGTGTAGGAGATTATGTTGCTCTCATGTCGGGAGTACCCATAAAAGCTTCTTTTTTATTTATTTTCTCTACTCTTTCATCGTTTGAAGTTCTGAAGAGTTCTCCTTTATCTTCACTTTACTTGTGATCACCACCCAAATTCTTGGACTCTTAGCTTTATTTTCCATTCATTCATATTTCAATTTCCTTTGACATTTGCTATTATTTTTATTGTCTCAAAGGTACCGTTCATTTATTGTGTTCTTTTTCTTTAGTTGAGTTCTCTTATCTTTCTTTGACCATTTTGGCGTTTTTTATGGTTTCTTATTATGGAAATGGCATTTACCATGCGTCAGAAAGCGAAAAAGGATATCTCAGTTGTTTGGGTGGACCCTTAGATTTTGGGGATTACTTCTACTTTTGCTTATGAAGATGACCTCGATCACACTTTTGGTGACATGGGACATTTCTCTGACTAAGGGGTGTTGACTCTAGATAAAAAGAAGAATATATGTAGTGAATATGACGGATGCATCATTACTCTTTATGAGTGTTTATTTTCCATCTCAGATTTCCGCCTTTTGTTTAATGATTTTAAGGTTGACTTCTAGAATCACTTGATGATTTCTCCCTAACAACTACACCTGGTGGGTTGGGCGCTTATCAAATTTTTCCATCATTGGTGTGAATATCAAGGGGTGTGTCAACATTACCGCTCTCATTTCACTTTTCAAGCCTCAAAATAGCATGGAAAACCACACACATGACCATGGTTTGATTTCCTTGAGTCAAGTTAACTACTTTTTTGATGTTTAGCCTAATAGTGTGAAGCATTTCAAGCATCAATTCTGTATGGTCATTCTTTTCAACGAAAGAGCCCATGTAAAGGTTTGTGCCATATAGACGGATTCGTACTATAAATGTACAAGGAAGGAGTGTCATGTTTACAAGGAAAATGACCTGTCAGAAGAAGACATTTATATGAAGAGGCATTTGTTGGCCTTTGTCATGGAATTGGGTTACATTAGTGGTGTCACTCCCCCCAGATGCATCATCAAAGAGGATAGGAAAGCCATCTTTGGTGAGTGTTATAGGCTTTATGGCCTTTCCCTATTTATTTTGAATACTCTCTTTCCTGAAAATTTTGCTGTGAAATGTGCAAATTGTAACACTCCAATTCTATCCAAAAATTATATAAAATTAGTTATAAAACTTCCACAACTAAATCAGGATGCTACAAATTCAACTTAAAACAACGATATTCATTACAGATACATAACACATTAACTTGGATGAACTCACATCAATATAAATTAATCTTTTAAAACTAACAACTTTCATAACCACACAGCGGAATCAAATATTCAACTTAAAGAATATAACATATTTATCCAACTAAAACAACTTCAGATAACAGTTATTTAACCAACAACAACTTAAAGTGCAACAGCTGAATAATAACAATAAAATAGAAAGCGTTCATCCCCCTGAGTGTTACATATCAGAGCAATGACACCGACTCGAACTACTGAAGGTAAACCACCTTCACTCTGGATTACCTGCATGTTACCAACATATGGGTAACATTCAAACAAAAGGGGTGAGATATCAAACCATATAAACGAATATATGATAAATAATATATTAGAATCAGATCATACAAAATCATCACTTCATAGCTTTTAAACGATATCTATTACGACTAAGTCATCAACATAATATCACAACTAATTCATCATCACAACAACTCAAGATGCAACATGGAATGCAACTTGTTACGATGCAAATGCATGTGGTACCAATGGAGCAGAACTCCCAACTTAATAATCTGCCAATAAATAGAGGCATCAACAAGGCATAAGCCTTCAACTTAATATTTTGTCAATCCAGGCCAACTTAACGAACATTAGCTCCACCTTGATATGTGATGTATGCGACACAACATGAATGTAGAAACAACAACAACAACAAATAACAACTTAACATAAATCAACGTTGACCATAAGCCTACAACATCTACAACAATTCAACA